AGCACTGAGAATGTATTAGATGTTTCCACAACAGTTTCCATGGCAGTCTCTTTCTTCTTCATCGTTTCTACCTTTCCATTCGTCTTCTTGATCGTCAACTTCATTCCCTGCTGTCCAGCCATTGACCAGTTTCCCTTCTTGACCTGAGGACTCAAAACAGGAGGACTACTACGAATCTTCTTGTTTTCCTCGGTCAGTCGCCGAATCTCCAACTTCGCCATCTTCAATTCTTCCTTAAGCTGTTGGTAAAGTTGCTCGATGGAGGGCATCTTGCTTCAATTTGTAGAGAGCGCGCAAACAGGTCTTCACAGAGCTAAGTACACATCAACACTGAGGGTCCATCAGCAAGAAGGGAAGGTAAAGTAAGGGCAGTAGAGCGGTAACGACGTTGTAGGTAAATTCTGCGTGCTCGTTGATAGACTGGGCAGTCCAACAGAATGTGGCTCACAGAAACTGGAACCCGACAATTCTCACAGAATGCAACAAGGCGCCTCTCAATGAGATAACCGTGAGTAAGATGAGTGTAGCTGATGCGAAGACGGGAGAGTAGTCTCCCAACCTCGACATTGATGACAAGATGGCCAGAAACCTCTACTCGGCTTAATAGGCTGTATTTAGTTAGGGAGCAGATCAGACCAACGTTGTTGCCAATGAGTGCGAAGGTGGGTAGCAATTACAGCAATATAGTCTGTGAAAGGAACACCTATATGAAACTGGGAGGTCATGTACTACTGACCGCGCAGCAGTCTGCCTGTTCACTGCCCTGTACGTCAACATGACCGGGGACCCAACAAAAAACAAGATCTTTGTGCTTGCAAGATATACGGCATAACCAAAGGTGGATATGAAGAACCAGGGGATGAGGTGTATCAAATTTTTGTATAGCCTGTAAAGCGCTAAGGGAGTCTGAAATGACTACAAATGGTGACACAGGCATAGATGCAATACAGATAAGTGCTACAAGAATGGCATACAATTCAACCGTAAAAATACTAGCCGAGAATAATAAATGCCCTCGCACGACGCTTTCCAGAAACACTGCAGTGAATCCGACGCCGTCAGAAGACTTAGAACTATCCGTGTACACTGCGATGGCATGAAAATGAGATCGGAAGTGGTTAAGAAAAAGTGCGAGAAGCTACTGTAGGCAGTTGGGCTTTGGCGCAGTGGGAAAGAACAGACATGAACCATTGGAACTTCCCAATGGGGTTGGGAAAAGTGAGATGCTACATGAACATAGAAAGGTGGTAACTGAAGAGAAGACAAGAGCGAATGTAGGTGAAGAGAAAAGGGATGGAGTAAACAGGGACGACAAACAAATAAAGAACGTTTCCTAACATCAGTGACTATCCTATATATGGAAGGATTGCGGAGGTCATGAGAGCGAACATAATAGCGAAGGCAATGAGCATCACTACGATTGGACAAAGATGGAATATTCACCTCTGCATAGAGGCTCTCAACCGGTGAAGAGCGAAAAGCACCGAGGCATAAACGTAATCCCTGGTGATGGATGGGATTAAGGCTAGAGAGAGTTGCAGGAGAGGCCGCTGAATATATCTGGTCGCCATAATCGAGTTTCGATAAAATTAGGGCTGAATGTAGTCGAAGGAGAGTTCTACGATCAGCCCCCATGAAAGATGATCGAGTGTTTTAAGAAGGTTCAGCCAGCTATGACAAGTTGCCTTCACAGAGGTAATGTGAGGTTTCCAGGATAACCTACAGTCAAACAGAAGGCCGAGTAACCTGACTATCACGTTCTGGGATACGTGAGCCACATAGGTACAATGGATGATCAGAGACAACAGACTGTCTAGTGAAAGTAATTTGGCGAGTTTTAGTACTAGAAAATTTAAACCCATGAGTGGTGACCCAATTGGAAACAAGGATGACCGCATGCTGGAGAGAAACTGCAATGAGGTGACAGTCAGCGCCTGCACAAGCTATAGTGAAGTCATCAACAAAGAGTGATGACCAAATATTGGATGGAAGAATAGAGGCCAGATCATTAAAAGCCAGAAGAAAAAGTGTGGTGCTCAGAACACACCCCTGGGGAACACTTTCAGCTTGGACAAAGTCCGGGGAGAGCATATTATTAACTCGAACACGGAAGTGTCTTTCAGTTAAGAAGTTCTTAAGGAAAAATGGTAGATTGCCTCGGAGGCCTAAGGAGAGGGCCTGGGCCAAGATGTTATACCTCCAAGTTGTGTCATATGCCTTCTCAAGGTCAAAAAAAGATGGCAATAACTGAATGGGTATTGGCAAAGGCATTACGGACATATGTATCTAAGCATAGTAATGGTAGAACGGCCCTTGCAAAAGCCATATTGACTAGTAGAGAGACTGTTGTGTCTCTAAATACATCAAACGTCTATTTACCAGACGTTCCATTACCTTGCAACCTGCACTGGTAAGAGCAGTGGAACGATAGTGGGAGGCATCATGTCCCGTAGTAACCAGTTTGCGGAAAGGGAGAACAATGGCAGATTTCCACAGCTGGGGAAGAACTCCTTGTGACCAAATAAGATTAAAGATTCGTAAGAGGACTGCAAGGGCTGACCAATGTAAATGCTGTAGCATACGAATATGAATGCCGTCAGGCCCAGCTGCGATGACCGGCAAGCTGAGAGTGTTGCCTCCAGTTCCAAAAGTGTAACAGGCACATTATAAGATTCTTCTCGTATATAAGAAAAGTTTAAGGGCTCTAACTCTCTGCCAGACTTTGAGGAATGAAACGAGGGGCATAGATGGAGCCCCTGAGAGATACAGACATGATTACCAATTTCGGTGGCAACATCAAGAGGGTTTGCAATATCAACACCGGCAACCTGAAGAACAGGAGCCAGGTCAGGAGAGTATTTACCATTCAGTTTCCGTACTTGTTTTCAGACTGCACTCATGGAGGAAGCAGAAGCGATGGTAGAAACAATCTTGCCAGCAAGAGCATTTAGCATCACGGATGATACGGCAAGCGACTGCTCTCTTCTGCTTAAAATCAAGAAGTCTGTGGTTCTATTGTACCGGTACCTGCCCCGCGCAGCACGTTTCAAACGTCCTGCCCAAGCACAAGCAGGAGACCACCAAGGCACCAGGGTTTGGGGTACAGAATGTGAAGCTGCAGTTAAAACTGAGGTCGAGAAGAGGTGTAAAAGCTCATCAATGGTGGACGAAGAAGGAACGTCACTAAAAGCAGTTAGATGCGAGTAAAGGTCCCAATTTGCTCGGTCAAATTGCCAGCGTGGGCTACGAGGAGGTGGTGAATACGAAGGAGAAGCAAGGATGATTGGAAAATGATCGCTGTCATGCAAGTCCTGGAGGAGAGACCAGGTGAAGTCTAGTACAGTTGAGGAAGAGCTGAGAGATCTATGCAAGAGAATGAGTACGAGGATCGAAATGGGTGGGAGTACCCGTATTTAAAACATGGAGGGGGAGAGAAGCGAGAAAAGCCTCCAACTGAATGCCACAGGAGTCACAGTGAGATTCCCCCCAGAGGAAATGGTGAGCATTAAAATCGCCTAGTAACAGAAGTGGTGGCGGTAAGGAAGAAACCAGAAATGCAACATCTGGGATATATAAGGCCCGAGAAGGAGAGAGTAACAAAGAACAGACTGCATACCACTTATTCAAGTGGATACAGGCTACAGTGTAATGCAGCGAAGTATGAACAGAGCTGATGGTATGAAATACTGGTACATATAAGAAGTGCACTTTCATTAAAGGTTCCATCAGAAAAAGGACCCAATGAATATAATAAATCAAAGCCCAAGCTGGGAGGGATAACAGCAGAACATAATTTTGCTTCTTGTAAACAAACACAAAAAGGAGAACACTGGGAGAGCAACACCTGGAGCTCACCTCGGTTACCCCTGAAGCCGCGGATATCCCACTGTAAATAAGCCATGATTTGCAAAGAGAAAGATACAAGAAATCCGAAGGGTGAAGTATCTATGGACTAGTAGGGTTAGAAAAGGACTGGGATGCTTCGAAAAAAGGAGTTGTGCAGATGGAGAAGAGTGAAAAAGAGGAACAGGAGGTGGATCGGTGTCCATCAATGGTCTAGTCTCCTCAATATATTCTGAGATAGCTTCAAATGTTTCAGAGGACAAGGACGTTGTATGTGGTACAATACTGGATATGGAAGAAGGAGGGTGAGTAAAGATTGGGGGGACGATGGACTGTACCAAAGTAGGGGGACGAAAGGGTAGAGGGAACTAGAGAAGCTTGGGAAGGGACAGGAGAGGAAGCGACCAGGGAGAGGGCAGAAGAGGAAGAAACTTAGGAGGGAACAGGGGAAGAAGGTACTGTACGAGGAGGAGGATTAACCTTCACACTCGTAACAGAGCCAGTTAAAGGTGAAGAACCGGGTACAGAGACTGGGAAGGGAAAATGAGCAGGTTGCAGAAGGGAAGGACGGGTGAAAGAAGATTTGAACAATGGAGATGTTTTGGACTTCAGAGAAGGAGAGGAGCGATAAGGAGTAGGTATTGGAATGGTCGTCGGCAGCACAGACTGGTCATTTAGCCATGGACCTGCAATATTTTGCAGGATGACCAAAACACCAGCAATTTCTACAGTTACTGTGTAGGGATCACCTTTCGAACTTGTAAACGGTGTCCTGCAATGTATACAGAAGACGGAAGCTCATGGCAGTCAAAAGTTAAGTGAGCTACATTACAAGGGTATCATCGCCTGTGGGCAGGGAGGACACAAGTGTATACTTTGAGGATTGGGAGGTCCTGGAGTTCTAGCTGCTCCAGAATGTCATTGCCACATGTCTGGAAATTCTGTTCGACAATGGTATGGGTCAGAATTACAGTACCACTACAAGAATTGAGGGAATGATGTTTTTCAATGGTTACAGGAATAGTATCGATAGCTGTAAGGAGAGAAAGATTGTGAGCTTGGGTAGCATTCTGGACAGTGATGATGCATGTACCGCTCTTGAGAGCACGAAAGGATACACCTCTACCAACATGGCATAGGAGTGCTTTGCTAATACTATGGTCGGCAAGGTAGGCAGTAGAGGAGGTCAGTCGTAGAGTAAAAAACTTAGTCCATTGTGTATTTTGAAACATAGCGTGGAAAGGGAGTGCATGACGTGCTGGTCTTTTCTGAGTCTAATAAGAAGAAAGTGAAGAAGTATCATCAGGTAATGGTCTTGGGCATTTAGGTGTGGGACCAGAGTTGGTTCGACGTGGGGTGGGTGGGCAATTTGAAAATTGCTGCACCACAGAGGGAGAAGCCGGAAGCAGAGTCAAAGAAGAGCGGAGGTCAGACGTATCAAAGGAGTCAATCGGAACCCTGGTACCTGAAGCGGGTGACGAAACGGCACCAGCAAGAGGTACAGGGGCATTAGAAATATCCGAAGAGGGGTCAAATAACGAGGCAGGGTCAGGACAGGATGACGTATTAGGAAGGGGCCCAGGGGGAGCAGGTTCATGAATTCGGGACTCCATGGTTAGGTCTCTTCTTTCTTGTTGTTTAGAAAAAAAAAAGAAAAAAAAGAAAAGAAAAGAGGGGAACGTGGAGGAATAGCTCCTAGGAGGCAAAAAAAAAAAAAGGGGCCGTAAATCCCCCTCCGTGCCCAAGAGAACTCCAGCAACGCAAGTACGCAAGTAGTGCAGCTGCAGCATGGAACCCATGCCATATCTTACACTTCTTGCCAGTAAACAAGCACATCCGCCGAGCCACCACGGTGGACAAAAGAGAAGGCGGCCGGACACCCGCCACAAAGCATACCTCCTTCAGCCATTACCCCCCAGAATTCGACAGGCAGCCTCCAGAGATACACCCGTCACCCAAAAGGCACCCAAAGCCACCCCCCGGGAGACCGGAGAGGGATTGTGACACCTCCAGGTGATCCAGATTCCACGGCAAGGACCTCAACGGAATGGGATGGACCCCGGTACCCTTCCCCCTACCTAGGAAGTAGAGTGCCTATGGGAAGAATCCCAAAGGCTAAAAATAGGAAGGCAATAAGGGAGGTGTGGGGAGGAGGAGGAGGAAAAGGAAAAAAGGAAGGATGGGGAAAATGGATAGGGAAGGGGGACTGGGAGGTAATTGGGTTCGGTCTGAGGAAGGAGACCAAAAGGTTTAATTCCTCTAACCAAGAGCCTCTTCACCGCGCCAAGGAGCACCTCTTGAAGAGCCATGCATCAATAACTGGGACTCTACCCTTCAAACAGAACTGTTTACCATACTCCTTGCACTCAAATGCGTCTATGTATCGAAGGCTGACACTTAACTGTAACTGATTCTCTATCATCTATAAATGTTCTCAACTCATTAAATATAAACTGTGGCGTGCTGGCGTCAGAAGCCAGACCAGATATGCTAGGATTGTGGACAGTGGAGTCAGAGTGCACCTTCTGTGGATTTCATCTCACACTGATCTTCAGATGCATGATAGAACTGATCAATTGGCAAAATTAAATGCTTTCAAAGAGAGAGTAGATTACAATCTTGGCTTGTCAGTTAGTAGTTTGAGAACAATAATACGAAAAGAACTTCAACTGAACTTTATTGGCTTAAAACTCAGGGAGACTAACACCAGTCAGTTCATCTATCATGTAGGAGGAGCCACATGTCTATGGTGCGTCCAACAAAATATGCAGATTTGTAATCCAGCTCCGGCTAGGTTATAAGCATCTTTGGCAGGTTAAATCACCACCACCAGATGTAGACCAAATGAAATGTAAACTTTGCCAGATGGACTATTGTCACACCCTGCGTCATTATGTACTGGAGTGCGATAAAATTAATGAATTCAGAGACAACTCGCTCAGAAATGTTCAAGATATGTTAAGGTATTTTATCCACAGTAGTATATTACAAACCATCCTGAAAAAATACCCTGACTTTGCTTACTGTAAACAAAGTTAATATCTGCATTAACTCATTGCAGTTGTGATCAGGTGTAGATGTGTGAATGGTTCATTACCTTCTTAACTTGTTCAGCTATCAAAGCTTTGGGGTCCGGTCCCTGGACCCATTATATACCTGGAAAGGGTTTCGGGGGTCAACGCCCCCGCGGCTCGGTCTGAGACCAGGCCTCGTGGTGAAGCAGGGTCTGATCAACCAGGCTGTTGCTGGTGGCCGCACGCAAACCTCTGTAATCTTTTTGACTATCGCCCAGAGGATGGGTACGGGGTGCATAATAAAAATATTAGACTTAACACACACACACTATCCATATCCATAATTAAATGTACATACCACTTCGTGGACACGCTTTTGTATACTGAAATGGAGCGTAGGTCACCATATATGTGTTGTGGTGTATCGAGAGTAGATAATGTGTTTGAGAGATGCTTGTTGTTTCAGGATCTGACGGCAAGACGAGAGGCAAGTATGGTTTCCGCACACCAGACGGCTGCATGCACGTTGTCTCCTTCGAGGCTGACCAAGCAGGCGGCTACCGCGTCCTCGGCACCACGAAGGAGGACTGCACCTTCGACAGTGAGTAGGGACAACCTTTCCTGGCGTTGGGGGGGACAAGTTTCGCTCAAAGGTGAAAGTTTACCTTAGAGCGAAAAAGTGTTCAAAGACTTGCTGCATTTACAAGCATCTTGCGTAGCAACCATTCCCTGATGTCTTAAATGTGTGTGGGAGACTCGAAAAGTCAGCGTGAAAACCTCTGGATGGTTGAGCTACAATACTCACACCTACAACACTCAAACACGGGTACTACACACCTGTGTAGGCGTGGGCAGCAATACATGTTGTATATGAAATGTATAAAATACCGACAAAATTAAGAATTATACACGGGTGCAACATTTGGGTATCTTTAATGTGTAGAAGTTTCACCATCCAGTGGCTTTATCGAAAAAAGGACAATGTGAAGACTGTAGAAGTATAAACAAAAGACGAGGTAATCAGTCTCCCAGCCAATCTTGATATTATGTCCTTGTATTGATAAAGCCACTGGATGGCTAAACATCTACAAATTAAGGATATCTAGATGTTGCATGTGTGTTTGATACACGTTATATTAGCGGCGGAAGCCGGCTTCTGCCATAAATGACAAATTACATTTGTGTTTACCTGTGTGTCACGAATCACTTGATTTTTTTTATACAAATCTCATCGTCTAATCCTGGTTGCACTCCACAGCAAGTCGACATCCAGTGTTTAATGGAACTACAGCTAGACGTCCCTTGTCGGTACCCAGATTACCAGTGACGAGTACTACACAACCACAAACGTTCAACACACGACCAGACACAACTACTACGCGAGTATCAGCGACGCCTACGACCACAACAACGACTACCTTCAGAAGTGCGGCAGTAGTCACGAGTCCCACAGTGAAGGATCCACTCTCCGTACCCGGGATCCCGGTTGTTGACAACACCATCACTGGTGAGTGAAACACACCAGGTAACTTGACTCACGAAATCGTAATGACACGATTACAAACAAACCATACCACGTAAGACCACAGCCAGAAGAAAATAAACATGAAATAGTATGGAGAGGGAGGAATGCAATAGACAGACAAAACTTTAGAAGAAAATTAAGACACATAACAGGAGAAACAAAGTGAGGCAGAATGAGAAGAGGAAAGAGAATATGAGATATAGGCTTTAGATTAATATATAAGCTACAGGACAGAAGAAAAAGAGCATGGAGAACTGTAAGAGTAAGAAAGAAACCAGATGATTAACGAAGAACGTAAATTATGTCGAGTAGCAATGGATGGTTAATGTACATAAATCTACATATGCATATAATAGGAAATGTTTTATTGTTTTATTAATTTAAGACAGTTTAAAACAGTAAATACATCATCTACTGGTGTACCTTTGTAGTGTACAAATAGAGCACGAATGTAAAAAAAATATGTGCTAAGATTATAAAATTTTCATTCTTATATATATATATATATATATATATATATATATATATATATATATATATATATATATATATATATATATATATATATATATATATGTTGATAAATTAGACACATGTGCAACTCTTGGGTATCTTTATTGAGGAAACGTTTCGCCACACAGTGGCTTCATCAGTCCATACGTAGGAGAAACTTGAAGAACAGGAGGAGAATGAGGTAATCAGTCCCTCAACCTTGAGTCGATGTGTTCACTCCATCAGTCTTGAATAGAATACGGCATATCAGCAGAGAAGCAGCTTATAAACCGTATGGCAGGAGAGGTGCAGCAGTCATAGGTCGTGTCACATTTGCTCAGAATTTGTTAGGAATTCTTCGCTTGCCTAATTCTTGGGCACGACCTACTTCCACATTGAACAAATGTGACACCACCTATGACTGCTGCACCTCTCCTGCCATACGGTTTATAAGCTGCTTCTCTGCTGATATGCCGTATTCTATTCAAGATTGATGGAGTGAACACATCGACTCAAGGTTGAGGGACTGATTACCTCATTCTCCTCCTGTTCTTCAAGTTTCTCCTACGTATGGACTGATGAAGCCACTGTGTGGCGAAACGTTTCCTCAATAAAGATACCCAAGAGTTGCACATGTGTCTAATTTATCAACATGTCGGTTCTCTGAACCATTCATCTATATATATATATATATATATATATATATATATATATATATATATATATATATGTCGTGCCGAATATGTAAAACTGGTCAATTAGCAAGAACTCATTTAAAATTAAGTCCTTTCTAAAATTTTCTCTTATACGTTTAAAGATATATTTTTTTCATTAATGTTGATGTAAAAATTCATAATTTTGCACCAAAAGGAACTTAGAAAACTTACCTAACCTTATTATAGCAAACGCAATTTATTTTAGACTAACCCAACTAAATATATTTTAGATTTGTTTACAATAATTTAATACTAAACAAACACAGTGAAATATATTTTTTTCGTTAGGTTCAGAATGATTTTGGCAAAATTACTGCATACACAAATTTTCACTTGTCCTATATGGCAAGATGAGCGTTGCTATTTAAGCCAAGATCGCAAGTTCTGCCTATTCGGCACGACATATATATATATATATATATATATATAATATATATATATATATATATATATATATATATATATATATATATACAAAACAACCAATGTGAAAGAGTAGTGAAATTCCAAGCGCTTTCGTGACTACTCACGTTGTCAAGGAACTATGAAAGTAATACATCAAAAGAAGCCAATTATAGGACGAAGACCACACCTCACAGTCAACTCCCACAACAAAGAAACACCTGACGCGCAACAATACCGGACTCATAAGAAAAGAGTAACACTGCAGTAGATCCGCTGGTCCAACTAGACAGGGGAAGAGTTTAATAATACAGTGGACAAATAATAAACCTTATTTCTTGGGTAGAATAATTAGTGGGATGTCGTGAGGACCTGTCTAGTTGGACCAGCGGACCTACTGCAGTTTTCCTCTTTTCTTATGAGTCCGGTATTGTTGCGCGTCAGGTGTTTCTTTGTTGTGGGAGTTGACTGTGAGGTGTGGTCTAAGCCCTTTAATTGCCTTCCTTTGATGTATTACTTTCATAGTTCCTTGACAATGTGAGTAGTCACGAAAGCGCTTGGAATTTAAGAACATAAGAAAGGAGGAACACTGCAGGAGGCCTGTTGGCCCATACTAGGCAGGTCCTTTACAATTCATCCCACTAACAAAACATTTGCCCAACCCAATTTTCAATGCTACCCAAGAAATAAGCTCTGATGTGCAAGTCCCACTCAAATCCAACCCCTCCCACTCATGTACTTATCCAACCTAAATTTGAAACTACCCAAAGTCCTAGCCTCAATCACCCAACTAGGTAGACTGTCCCACTCATCAACTACCCTATTTCCAAACCAATACTTTCCTGTGTCCTTTCTAAATCTAAACTTATCTAATTTAAATCCATTACTGCGGGTTCTCTCTTGGAGAGACATCCTCAAGACCTTATTAATATCCTCTTTATTAATACCTATCTTCCACTTATACACTTCGATCAGATCTCCCCTCATTCTTCGTCTAACAAGTGAATGTAACTTAAGAGTCTTCAATCTTTCTTCATAAGGAAGATTTCTAATGCTATGTATTAATTAAGTCATCCTACGCTGAATGTTTTCTAACGAATTTATGTCCATTCTGTAATATGGAGACCAGAATTGAGGTGCATAATCTAGGTGAGGCCTTACTAATGATGTATAAAGCTGCAGTATGACCTCTGGACTTCTGTTGCTTACACTTCTTGATATAAATCCCAGTAATCTATTTGCCTTATTACTACACTTTCACAGTGGTTGTTCTGCATATTTTAAAATCACCTGTTTACTGTGATCATATTGCAATATATATATATATATATATATATATATATATATATATATATATATATATATATATATATATATATATATATATATATATATATATATATATATCGCAAACTGATAATGGAAATAAAGTTGAAATCAATATTAATACTGAGAATACTAATGAAGTGTTTTTCATATCCTAACACTCATCTTGGGAACTGGACAACACAGAGGACTCCCAAGGCAGGCAGTTACGTCCCCCCACCAGACCATCACCAGGAATCGTATTCACCACCGAACCCATCCCCACCATCATCCCAGCCATCACCACCACCACCCCCAAGCCAGAGAAGAAGCCTGAGCCCCTCTACTCCTTCGGTTTCACCACGCCCACCCACGGACACACTGAGACAGGACTTCCAGATGGGTCTAAGAAGGGAGAGTACTTCTGGGACACTCCTGAAGGATGGCGATACATTGTTACTTACGAGTCAGTCAACCAACATGATGATGCCCAGTTTTGGGTTTAACTAATATATATATGTATATATATATATATATTGCAGAAAAGAGAAGGATGTCCACGCAAGTATGTTCCCAAAGGCCGTCTTCACTGGAGTGAGTGAAGTCCTTTGGGAACGTACTTGCTTGGACATCCTCTTCTCTGCAATTTTCCAAGCTCCTGATGATATATTGATTGCAACACGAAACGCATTATATATATATATATATAATATATATATATATATATATATATATATATATATATATATATATATATATATATATATATATATAATATATATACACACAATGTATACATACGCGCGCGCGCGCACACACACACACACACATTCTCTGACACACACACCCTCGCATACCTAACACACACCCCACACACACACACACACACACACACACACACACACACACACACACACACACACACACACACACACACGGGATATACCAACAAGTGTTGGATGAATTACACACAACTGAGGAGGAGGTGGAGAAGCTCCTAAGTGACCTTGATACCTCAAAGGCGGTGGGACCGGACATCTCTCCGTGGGTCCTTAGAGAGGGAGCAGGGACACTACGTGTGCCACTAACCAAAATCTTCAACACTTCCCTTGAAACTGGGCAACTACGTGAAGTATGGAAGAAGGCAAATGTAGTCCCCATCTTTAAGAAGGGAGACAGAAATGAAGCACTAAATTATAGACCAGTGTCACTGACATGTATAGTATGCAAAGTCTTGGAAAAGATTATCAGGAGGAGAGTGGTGGAGCACCTGGAGCGGAACAAGATTATAAACGACAGCCAGCACGGATTCATGGAAGGCAAATCCTGTGTCACAAACCTACTAGAGTTTTACGACAAGGTAACTGAAGTAAGAAATGAGAGGGAGGGGTGGGCTGATTGCATTTTCTTGGACTGCAAGGCCTTCGACACAGTTCCTCACAAGAGATTAGTACAGAAGCTAGATGAACAGGCACGTATAACAGGAAGGGCACTACAATGGATCAGAGAATACCTAACAGGGAGGCAACAGCGAGTCATGGTTCGTGATGAGGTATCACAGTGGGCGCCAGTGACTAGCGGGGTCCCACAGGGGTCAGTCCTGGGACCAGTGCTATTCTTGGTATATGTGAACGACATGGCGGAGGGGATAGACTCAGAAGTGTCCCTGTTTGCAGATGATGTGAAGTTAATGAGGAGAATTAAATCAGACGCGGACCAGACAGGTCTACAAAGAGACCTGGACAGGCTGGATGTGTGGTCCAGAAACTGGATCCTAGAATTTAACCCTGCCAAATGTAAAGTCATGAAGATCGGAGGAGGGCAAAGAAGACTGCAGACAGAGTATAGACTAGGTGGCCAAAGGCTGCAAACCTCACTCAAAGAGAAAGACCTAGGTGTGAGTATAATACCGAGTACATCGCCAGAAACACACATTAACCAGATAACTGCTGCGGCATATGGGCGCTTGGCAAACCTGAGAATAGCGTTCCGGTACCTCAGTACTGTGTACGTCAGGCCCATACTGGAGTACGCAGCACCAGTTTGGAACCCACACCTGGTCAAACACGTCAAGAAATTAGAGAAAGTGCAAAGGTTTGCAACAAGGCTAGTTCCAGAGCTAAGGGGAATGTCCTATGAAGAAAGGTTAAGGGAAATCGGTCTAACAACACTGGAGGACAGGAGGGTCAGGGGAGACATGATAACGACATACAAAATACTGCGTGGAATAGACAAGGTGGACAGAGACAGGATGTTCCAGAGATGGGACACAGAAACAAGGGGTCACAATTGGAAGCTGAAGACTCAGATGAGTCAAAGGGATGTTAGGAAGTATTTCTTCAGTCATAGAGTAGTTGGGAAGTGGAATAGTCTGGCAAGCGATGTAGTGGAGGCAGGAACTATACATAGTTTTAAGACAAGGTATGATAAAGCTCATGGAGCAGGGGTAGAGAGGACCTAGTAGTGGTCGGTGAAGAGGCGGGGCCAGGAGCTGAGTCTCGACACCTGCAACCACAATTAGGTGAGTATACACACACACACACACACACACACACACACACACACACACACACACACACACACACACACACTCACACTCACACTCACACTCACACTCACACTCACACTCACACTCTGTATATGTTCAACAATAACCCACGTGGAGACAAAATCAGGAGACTGATATGCTGTATATATCGACCCCCAGAAGGGGGTTGATATATAAGGATCAATTAATCTCCTGGGTTTCTGTCTCCATGTGGGCTATTACTGAGCACTGAGAAGTGTTCATGACAGTTTAGTTATTCATATTGTATAGTATATGATTTTATGCCCTTCTACTCTGCTGCTTTTGTAGACTGCATCTTTCTAATTAATGTCTGTCAGGTACTGGGCCCCAACATTTGTTTTATCTAAGGAATTTACAATCGTAATGAACTATTTACAAATGCACTGACCTCAGAACAATAGCAAGGAGCTTATAGTCATAAATTCAGTCACAATGTAGTTATGTTATGAGTTATTTACAATACAGAATATTTAGCAAGATGTGGTTCATTTTAGGCAAGTTAAGAGTGACTGGGATGTATTTACAATAGACAAAGGTGTATTGTTTTTCTGAAAGACGAGTAATATGGCACCGTGGACAAAAATGTTTCGACATTTATTGGAAACTTGCAAGCTTTCTGATTTTTTTCCGCATTCTAGCACATATTGAAGCAAGGTGTGACAATAGTTCCGCTGACAAAGTTTACATTTAGTTATGTCTACATTAGCTGGTAATGCAACCTTCCGGAGTGATAATCATCGCTTTGTTCTGCAATTTTTCAATTTCTCCAAACTTTCTACCTGAAATGAGAGTAGGTATGGTTGCAACATAGTTAGCTTGTGATCCAAAGTTGGCAAAATATACCCTTTTCACTTTGGTGGTAACACCATATCTGCTACAAAATCCAAACACAGCTGAGTGTGCTCAGCCTTTCTCTGTTATGGCGACAACGTCTGGTTAGAGGGACCTCAACATAGATGGATTGCAAATCAGAGATAGCATCTGTTTACATATACGAACAGAGATCCATCGAGCAATTGACTGGATCCTACGGACTGCCTCTCTCTGTCGAAAAGGAAGCCTATTAAGTTCGTTTTCTCAACCGAGATTCATTCATTCATTAGAGGTTCGCCGGTACTTCCGGCCCGGGTCTTCTCCATATGGTGACCCGGCTGTGGCCCCCGGTTGGGGGTGTCGTTCATCTTCTTTCTTCTGTCTTCTTTCTTGGGCCCTCCGGCTGGAGGGTCTCAACTGAGATGATCAACACAAATCTAGTACATGGATAAGGTGTTTTGAGTGCTGGGAGAATCCGGTGGTGTGAATCATTATATCATCAACAAAGCTAATTCTATAATGACTGGGCTGACTTGGCATAGCATTTAGCGAAGCATTAATTAGATAGCTGAACAAGATTTTACCTAGGACGCCCCCTTTTCTTTGTTCCTAATTTAGTCTTTAGTTATACTTCGATGACCCTGAAACAACACAGAAGACTTCCTGGTAGACAGACTTCGATTCAGCTGAGAAATCATTCTTGCAGGTTCACTAATGATTAAATTCTAAGTTTTTCATCTCGTTTTCTATGGATTTTCTGACTGGTTGGTTCATTACGTTTAAAACCTACTGACTATACGATACGGTCATTAAGGCTACATGTTACCACACCACCAGTCAAGATCAGTTTAATCTCACCTCTCGGTGTATATACTCTTGTGATCTATTATTTTTGGCTAATTCCTTGTCTCACTCTCTATTATTTAAATTTTTAACCTACACTTTGTTGTTTGAATTTATTTTACTTGTATTTTTCTTATTTTAGTTATTTTTTAAAGTTCTTTCATTTCGTGTTTAATTATTCTACTGGCACATTTTTTGTGCGTTCACGCAGAGCTTAATAAAAAATGTGTAACTCACAAAATTTTATGTTGTGTCACAGAGCCAATGCACGAGGCTTCTATCCCAAGATCCGTCGTCTAAGAACCCCCACTGCCACCACTACTACTACTACTACTACAGAAGCTCCCACTGACAGCCAGGGCAGGAGTAACCCCAACGGCAGAGGCAAGGTACTGGAGTTAGGTCCACCTAGTAATGCTGCTAGCTCTGGCTGCCCCTACTTTTTCTACTACAACACGAGGTAAGTGTTCAGCAATGGCCGTTTACCATTTTTCTTCCCTAAGCTGATATCCATTATCCATGATAACTGCCTTATTATTATTAACCTCGTAACTAAAGCCAAGAGCTGCACGCCTACACTCACAACGTCACTAGTGTTAGTACACTTGACCTCAATATTAGAGTCTAGAGCCGGATCCCTACATTCACAACAACGTCACCAGTCAGTGTACACCTGAATTCAGTATAGATCTGTTAATGAAAATACGGTAAATCACATTGGGTAAAAAATAAAATACATCTGGCTACTTGCACTCGCTTCTTCGAATGGGCCGCCCCTCAAGGGAGGGTCCTTGACACTGGTGAGGGGCTCTTGATCTAGGGAATTCTATCTGTGCCACCCCCCAAGCGCTGTATAATCCCTACGGGTTTAGCGCTCCCCACGATTATAATAATTAGAGTGGACTTGACTTACTCTTAGTTAAATCCGACCTTAAGGATTTAGAACATTTTCCCATGGATATAATAAGAATATTAATTCATTTATCTATTACTGCTTGTACGAGGGTCAAGTCTCGGGTCGTGGGGAAGATGAGGCCCAAGATCGATAATTACAGGTTGATCAGTTCTTCATCTAGGTCATTCCACTTTCTGACTACCCTGAAGATAAAGAAATGTTTCCTGACGTACCTGTGGCTCATATATTTCGTTAGAAACTTTTAACTCTTCCCTCGTGTATTCGCTTCGGTCTTTCCCCCCACCTCCCCCCCCAAAAAGCTGCATCCAGCCCGTGAAGCTCTCTGGGGATCTTAAACATTGTTCAATGTCTTCCCGGGACTCTTCTATCTTCCAGCGTCATCTTCATTTCTTTCAGTCTTTCCTCACAATTCATTCCCGTTAACTCTGTGACTAATTTTTGTTACAAACGTCTACATTTTCTGTAACTTCTTGACAGTGTACCAGGTGTGGGTTACATATTAGGTGAAATGAATACCACTTTTTATTGCCGAAACGTTTCGCCTGCACAACACGCTTCTTCAGTTGAAAACAAGACTGGAGACCTTAGTAGTGGTTTTGATGTAACGAGTCCGTCACAACTTACCAAGAAACTTATTATGTCAAAACTACTTCTTTGGTCTCCAGTCTTGTATTAACCTGTTTTCGACTGAATATGACTTGTGTAGACGAAACGTTTCGGTAGTAAAGACAAGCAAGTGCTGAATATGTGCTTTATTCAGCATACGTCATGATGTGTATATACCTCATTCTGTGCACTGAACATACGTACAGCGAGGTCCAACTCCGCGAGGTTTGCAGCCTCTCCTGCTCCCGCGAGTTTGTAGATAGTTTCCGGTTGTCTACACCCTTCCCCAGTTTTGATAACCTTTTGCACCTGTATCATTCCAGTGATGGTGTCCAGACGGGGCGACACCATCACAGTTTTGCTCCCGTAGCTACAACTACCTAATAAGTAACACATGTACTACCCCAAACAGTATAATTCTCTGAACTTACCAAAATCCTGTCTATAGGCTTCCTGTCATTCCTTGACGGGTGTATCAACAATCAGTGATAAATATGATTTGAATTTTACTGTTATTCCATGACGAGTTTATCAATCACATTAATGACAATAATGGTTTGAGGCTTTCTGTTATTGCTTGGTGCATATATTCACAACAGTGTCAGTAATCACCAGCACAATATTAAAATTAATGTATTTAATTTACACAACATATATTAATTTTAAAATATATCTTGAAACCATAATTACTGCTATTTTAACTCTGGTGTATATAGTCCAGATCACTTGTCACACACCTGTCAAACTCTGAACTGTTGGGAAAAGGGAATCTTGCTTAAGGATCGAAACATCTTCGAACAGGAGTGGAACAGAGCTCTGGTTGTGACTAAGTTCGAAACATCTAGCAGAAGTGGAACACAGCTACAGTCATGATTATTTCACAGCAGCAAATAATAATAATAAATTTATTTCAGCATGATGCAGTATTTGTAAAGAGATGGGTGATATTGTAATTATGCATGCACAAAGCCCATAGTTATGCAGAGATGTTCTAGTTCTCCCATCGTTGCCATTTTTTCATAATCTCAAGACAGAGATGAGCGAGTTGAACGTATATTGCATGGTGTTGCAGGATCAACTACCACTGGGAACACTGCTACCTGAACAACACCAAGGTGGGAGAGTTCGGCAGCCTGGGATCAGACGGTTATGCCGTCAAGAACGCCTACTATGCTGACCTGACTGGTTTCCATCCCACCCTGACCCGCACGCCCCTCACTCCCCTCCAGCAGAAGACTATGGCAGAGTACTCAGCAGGTGTCTTCATTGTCCCTAAGGTACCACCAATATAACCTCTGTCGTCTCACCTCAGCTCTCAACTCCGTGGAAAGCAGTTAGGCATGCGTTTTCTTAAATAAAAAATAAAAAGGTACAAACCGTGTCTGGAACGATGCACAAAAACAGCACACAGGAGAATGAAACTTGTGACGACGTTTCGGTCCGGCTTGGATCGAAACGTCGTCGTGTGATTAGTCAATGATTCAAGTCGAACCGAAACATCGTTATAAGTTACATTCTCTTATATGCAAGTTAGTTGTCTACATTCTTCAATACATTAGCTAATTTTAAAGACACCTGCGTAAATCTGGGAAACTTAGGTTGCAAAATTTTAGATTTGACATATCAATTTCTATAACTACGGTAAAATGGTTTTCTTGGAGGACAGGGATGGAGTTTTCGGGCAATTAACAGTTACTCATATGCCTTGATATAATAAATATCACATTCAAAAATATTTGTTACGATGACAAGCAGTATAAAAAACTACGCATTAAAATCACTTTTATTCAGGAAATCTAATCATGATTGTAAATAGTATATATTTGAAGAAAATTTCTGCATGTACATAGATGCTGCAGGCGAATATAAATGGTGCATCACATACTGAAGACTTAACCTAGGGTAATTCAAACTAATAATAACAACAATAATAAAAATCTACATTGTCTAGGCTTGCCTGGGCAGATGAGGCTGACCCATTGCTTACAAGGCTACGTAAACATTGCCTCAACCTGGACATTATTTTTTTACGAGTGTATTTTTAGCAAGATATGCTGATAGCCTCGCTGGGGATGTTGTGCTGCCTAAATCATTTAAACGCAATGTTTCCATTACCTTTCAAACGTGTATTTTTTTTTTTTAAATTTATTTATATGAAAAGTTTTATTGAAAAAGTTGCTGTGTGTGCCATATTAAATTATAATGATGCTTTCTCTTATTTTCGAAGTCTCTAAAATCTGTCAGTCATACAACACCATTGGTTTTTACATATTTTTTCTTTCTTCAAAGGAATTAGTAAATCATTTATATCTTGGATGGTTGATCGGGCTTATATATATATATATATATATATATATATATATATATATATATATATATATATATATATATATATATATATATATATATATATATATGTGTGTGTGTGTGTGTGTGTGTGTGTGCAAAACAATCGCAGACAGGCGATCTTAATGCAAGACAAGCCACAGTGGGTGGAAATCTTAGCTCAAGTACTTTCACACTTCTCAGTGCGTCATCAGGCACACTACCATTCTCACTACCATACTCTGAAAACTTACCCTACTTCTCTTGTTGCTGCCTTTGCAATATTGCACAGCTCCTGATGAAGTATTGAGAAGTGTGAAAGTACTTGAGCTGAAGATTTCCACCCCCCGTGGCTTGTCTTGCGACTAGCCAAGGACTCGAACCCATGCTGCTTTGGCCCACCTCATGGTGAGCAAAAACACATGATGCTCTACCCACAGGACCACGCAATCCTACAAGAATGACGCACCCAGCCAAGCTAGGTGTTTTACCGTCATCCGGGGACATACAGTGGTGTGGATGCCTCTAGGCTAATTTCATTCTACTCCCTGTTTGGTGTACAAGCCCAACGAGCAGTGCTTTATATTATTGTAACCACGAACGAGTGGTATTGATCAATAACAACACTGCGACTAGCCAAGGACTCGAACCCATGCTGCTTTGGCCCGCCTCATGGTCAGCGAAATCACATGACCATCTAACCCACAGGACCACACAATCCTACAAGAATGACGCACCCAGCCAAGCTAGGCGTTTTACTGTCATCCGAGGACGGTAAAAGCGGGCCAAAGCAGCATGGGCTCGAGTCCTTGGCTAGTCGCAGTGTTGTTATTGATCAATACCACTCGTTCGTGGTTACACTAATATATATATATATATATATATATATATATATAATATATATATATATATATATTATAATATATATATATATATATATATATTATAATTTCTTTCAGTACATGTACGTATACAGTCTTAGCTGACATTACTGGCATACTATTATATAGAGAGCCCCTTGTTATGCAGAGCATTTCGGGCAAATTAGGTAAATTTTGTCCCAGGATGCGACCCACATCAGTCGACTAACACCCAGGTAACCATTTTACTGATGAGTGAACAGTGACAACAGGTGTAAGAAAAACACGCCCAATGTTTCCACCCTTGCCGGGGAATCGAACCCGGAATCAACGTTTGAAGCGAGAGCTTTGCCTACCATGCCACAAGCCACCTAAATAGGCTGCTAACTACTCAATGGGTCACTGAAGATACTTCTCACCTGTTCCCCAGTCAAAAATACTTAAATCCCTAAAACATGGATTAAAATAAGTTCTCAGGACATATACACTTAAGTAGTTCATGACTTTCATACAGAGGTCTTCTTTTCTCGGACTATTTTGCAGTAATCTGTAGATAACTTCGCAACTGCTGGCAACAAAGGTGGTCTGAATTGGCCCCCAATAAATTGTATTCTGTTAATCCATATTTGGGTTTCTGGTCATCTTACCATCGCTGTCGTGTTTGGGAGACTATATTCTTCCACCTACATATCGGACACACGTCTCATTCATGGGTATCTATGGGAAAAATGCTCGGGACTGCTCTGTGAGAACTGCCAAGCTACGTTGTCAGTTCCATGTCTCTTAATTAGTGTCCTTCCTATCAGCGGGCACGCAGAATTTACTTCCGACGTCATCATCCAAACACACTCAATCTGACCTCCTCGCTGAAAGTTCCACTTTTGACGCAGACTCCCTCTTTGACTTTTTATCAGAAACTAACCTCTTATGCCAGCTTTGATTATATTTTCTCTTCAACACACCCTTCCCCCCCACACTACCCTCGCTAACTCTACCTTTTGCACACTCCTACCACACATTAGTCACTGACCTTTACTTATTCGTTTTTTTTAGCACATTCCACCCTTCAACGCTGTATGACCCTTTCTGGTTTAGCGCTTAGTTTGATTATATGATTACCTACGAGGCCTGGTCTCAGACCGGAACCGAAACCCTCTCCAGGTAAACCTATGACTATATATATACACACTCAGAGATATGCACCTCTGTGTATAGAACCTGTGTAATTAATTTCCATTAATCATTATCGCTTTCAAGGATTTCCATTTTTACATATTTAATATTTATAATGATAGTGAATACAAAGTTACTAAAGTGCTGGGAAAGCCAGGCTTCCCAGTACTTAAACCACAATAATTATGTTTGTAATGTAGAGTTTTCTGTTTCCGCAGCCAGACGAGGAGAGGCGGGAAACAGAGAAGAGGATCCTGGCCTGGCTGGAAGAGAACAGAGATCAACTGCAGAACCCTCTCCGTTGACCCCTACACAACCACAGTACTGAACGGGACGCCATGCACACTCGCCTCCATAGACCTCTTCACTGATATATTACTGATTTCAATGGCATTATGAATGCCTTCAAGTTCAGATTTTTTAATATTTTTTTGCTATGTTTAACATAAAAACAGTTTAAAATGCTGGCCATGACATTTGATTCTTACGGGCTGACTCGGTAAAGCCTAATGTACTTGAGAGAGATGTTTTATGTCCAAAAATCTACATGACAAACAGGATTTTATTTTTAAAACAGGCAATTCGGTACAGAGCAGAGCATACAGCATTATTTAAACATTGCATTGTTTGACCCACCTTCAATTTATTTCTTGTAAATATAGAGCGTGTTCGCGCACCCTCACATAATATACATGTTAGGTATTTCATTACACCTAAATGATGAGGTGCTTTAGTATAATTAAGAAAAATATTTGAATCCGATTTTTGTTTATCATTGCTGCCTTCCCAGCAGAGTCTTGACGTAAGACCTGGTAAGGGGTTGTGTGTGTTATTAATTTAAAGATCGAGTACTGAGGCGATCTCAAGGAAGGAATATTTGTATTTTGTAATTGGGATTTATTCGAAAAAAATAACGGAAAAAGTACAGAACAAAAATGATCGCGGTTGTGGTTCAAGAGGCGGGGGCCAGGAGCTAAGACTCGACCCCAGCAAGTATAATTAGGTGAGTACACATACACCCACGTTTATGGTTTATGTGAATGACATAACAGATGTGACCGAGTCGGGTGTATCAGCTAATGTAATGCTTACGAGAAAAAAAAAATAGAAAAAAAGAGGTAAATTATTCTGGACAAACAACAGATAAGTGGTTGCTGAAATTCAACTCCAGTAAATTGAATGTTATGAAAATTGGGGAAGGGGCCTCAAGACCGGATACGGAGTATAGACTGGGGGGGAGGGGACAGAGGCTGCAGACCTCATTCAGAGAAAGACTTAGGACTGAGCCTAATGCCTAACATATTCCCTGAGGCTACTATCAACTACATAACCTCTGCAGCCAATGCTCGTCTGACAAATCTAAAGTTAGCCTTAAGGAATCTCAGCAGAGTCGTCCAGGGCACTTCATACGACATACGTCAGGCCCACCTAGAAGTATGCAGCACTGACATTACAACTCACACCTGAAAAAAATGTTAAACTGCATGCAGATTCATGCAAAAAGGCTTGCTCCTTACCTAAGGGGCACGAGCTACGAGGAGAAACTAACTGGATTGAATCAAACTATATGAGATGACACAAGAACTAGGCTGAGGCATGATAACCTTACAGAATACTCCGAGGAAATGTTAGGATACATGGGAATAAAAAAATAACTAGTAGAATTAGATTCCCCATACGGGAGCGGAGACAAAAGAAAAAATGAATGCAGCCAGGGGCCAGATTTTGGTATAAGTTAAACAAGCTACAACTTAGGGTCTCGCAGTTTGAAGGGACTCCTTAAAATTTAAAAATATATTTTTCATTTGCTTATGCCTAAATCCGATTCTGAATTCATACCTTATACACTTCATAATTAATTAAAGGTATATTTTAAAGTTCTAATAGAATAACCCTCCCGCCCCTCACACACCAGTTTGCTATATATCTTGGCAGCAGCCTTGTGAAGGTCAGTTGTTCCACAGCATTATTCTCCGTTAACACTTGCCATATAGTGCCTTAACAACTTCCCATAGCTAAGGGCCTCACCATGTCAAAATTCGTCCCTGGACACAGCAGTAAAGAAGTTTGAGTCAATATTCAAAGAAAATAAAAAAAATGAGCTGGGCGTTGGTGATAATGAGGTACTGAGCTGATAGTATTGGGTGTGAAGAAAGAAATGATATTCAGTTACATGCAGCTGAACTACAGAATAAGAAATTATGATGGCATAATTTTTTTTCTGACAGGTAAAACGAAAAGGTATTTGGAAGGCAAGAGAAGATGGAGATCAATGTGCCGAGAGGTAAAGGAAGGTTTCAAGAAATAAAATAGGAAAAAGATACAATCAGAAGTTACAGGGAGGCACAAGAGGACTTGAAAGAAATAAGAACACAGAACACTGCAGAAGACTGGGATAACAAGAAGGAGAACAAGGAACGACTATGCAAGGATAAGAAAGTCAAAATGAAAAGTTAAAAGAAAATATAAGTAAAAGTCAAAATGTAACCAAGGTTACTTCACAAGCTAAGAACCCAGGGTGTAAGGTTGAAGGAGAGGACGTAATGAAGGATGACAGAAGTATACAGAACCTTGCAGAAAATCAAAGCCCACATCACAGAAGAAATCAAAGTTATCACATGTCTGTGACATATTAACGCCTACTAAATATGTGAACAAAGAATCATTCAAAACCTAATACGCAACATATGTCACACCTACCATAGAAGATGCCATTGCGTGAAGTATCGACTTGACTGGTGACAACATTATATGCAGACCTAAAATTTTGAATGTGCTATTGTTGTATGTGTACATACATATATATATATATATATATATATATATATATATATATATATATATATATATATATATATATATATATATATATATATATATATATATATATATATATAATATATTATATATATATATATATATATATATATATGTATATGACTGCTGACATGAGAGTGAGCAATGCAGGTGCAGTTAATACTCTAACACTCTTGCCCTTAGTCATAATATTTGTTGTGTGGAGAGAAATATTTTTCTTGTTGAAGTTCCACTCAACGATGTCTCTTATTGTGTACAGTGTTAAGCCTAATAAAACATACACACGAGTGATGGTGTTATTAACACATTAATACGCATATCTTGTAAATAACAGAGTTCAGCCGCCTAAGAAGACCACCTCCAACAACCAGCCAGCACGCTGGCAGCTGCTGTTGTTTCACGTCTTTTGTTTATACAATAAACTTAAAGATATTAGTATACTTATATATTTGCATATGTAATAAATATTACTATTTTTTTTTTATTCGCCGGTACTCTCCCGGCCTCTATATATGCATGTATGTGGACATGTATTTGTATTATGTATCAAAAATAAGATATATATGTTTATACTTGCAAAATAAAAAGTCACACATCCTTGCTATATATCCAGGTGGATGGATCACTAGATTTTATGATTCCTTTATATATATATACCCATTATTCCTATTTCATTTTATTAAATTACTCTATTACCAATCTTCCTCCCCTTAGGGGAGGTTCCTTGACGCTGGTGATGGGATCTTGATCTTGGGAATTGGATCTGTGCTCTGGTTCCTTGAATTAATTATTATTATTATTTTAATCAAGGGGAAGCGCTAAACCCGGAGGATTATACAGCGCATGGGGGGATGTGGAAGGCATTCAGGCTTAATTCGGGGAACTGCAGCACAGATCCAATTCCCTAAATCAAGAGCCCCTCACCAACATCAAGGAACCTTCCTTGAGGGGTCCCTGAATACCTTACACCTCCACATGCGCCGTATAATCCTGCGGGTTTAGCGCTCCCCATCATAATAATAATAATACTAATATCTTTATTTCTACAAGTACATGTACAAGGTATACAGTTCTAACTGACATCAATGACATACTACTATATAGAAAGCCGCTTGTTATGCTGAGCATTTCGGGCAAATTAAGTCAGTTTTGTCCCAGGATGCGACCCACACCAGTCGACTAACTCCCAGGTACCCATTTTACTGATGGGTGAACATAGACAACCGGTGTAAAGAAACATGCCCAATCTTTTCACCCTCGCAGGGAATTAAACCCGGACCCTCGCCGTGTGTAGCGAGAACTTTAGCCTCCAGACCACGGGGGGGGGAGGTATCCTAGGAAATTTACACATATGTTACTAGGTATGATAATTGTATTTGTGTACCTTGAACAACAGTATTATTATTGTGGAGCACTAAACCCGTAAGGATTATACAGCGCCTGTGGGGGGGAGGGGGGATGTAAGGTGATCAGGCTTAATTCAGGAAATTGGAGCACAGATCCAATTTCCTAGATCAAGAGCCCCTCACCAGCATCAAGGAACCTCCCTTAAGAGGTAGTTGACAACAGAGTTGACACTACTCTTACCTGTCCCCTCAAGGAAGGTTCCTCGATGCTGGTAAGGGGCTCTTGATCTAGGGAATTGGATCTGTGCTCCAGTTCCCTGAATTAAGCCTGAATACCTTCCATCCCCCCACATGCGCTGTATAATCCTACGGGTTTAGCGCTCCCCCATAATTATAATAATAATAATAATAATAATACTCTTACCTGTACACAGAATTCTTGAGTTTGTTATATATATCAGCTGTGAAGATCTTGCAACACTCGAAGCTGTGATCATCATGTGCAAGCACTTTATCCATAAATAATGGAATAATTGTACCAGTGATAACTTCGTGTCACAACACTTCCTGGTTCACCACGTTAATAAGGGTTTATAGCCTTTCCACTACAATAAAGTCACTAATTAAGCACGTAACATTTTCACCACTGGGCAAGAATACTTTGAACCCTAAAATAGGGTTTAAAGTAAACTCTCAGCATATAAACAGTGAGAAACCAGCTCTTGGTGTATTTATGCTGTGATTCACTACTGCTGGACGACTGTGAGATGTTGCCCAGTCTTATACAACCCACCGTCTTATCCTTATTTTGTATCTAATTTGTACTTATTATACTTATTATAAGTAATTTTATTCATTACATTCCTTCATCGTCGTTTAATCTGAAGCTTTGCTGGGTCACTATAAATAACTACGATACTTTTAAAAGTTGATAGACCTGAACGTGCTTTTCTTATTGCTTGGTTAATAGGAGTTTAAAACCTATTTACTACATTAGGCTTCATGTCACCTGTATACCACTGAGATAGGTAGGTATAATGCTTGTCAGGAAACAGGACAAGTGTTTCCTGACGCGATTCTTAGTCATATGATGATCCACAGCTGGAGCTTTTGGTCATCTGACCGAGGCCTTCCGCTGGCTTACCAGTCCACCCCTTTAAAAATCATGGTTATGATTATAACCATTAGGTATATTTTACTACCACTGAGATATGCACCTCACGGTATATACATGTATATGTTGCTGCTGCTGTTACTGGTAGTGGCGTCTCTATGCTTTTGATCCCTATTTACTTAATTTATATGCAAGGGTAAATTTTCCTTTTCACCAATTTAATCAAATTGTGATTTACAGTTGGCTAGCCACTTAATTAATTTATTTCATGACAATAGTGGGCTCAGATATTCCCCTATCTTAGCTAATTAGTACCTACCACCTACAGAAATATATATATATATTATATATATATATATAATATATATATATATATATATATATATATATATATATATATATATATATATATATATATATTTTTTTTTTCAACAAGTCGGTCGTCTCCCACCGAGGCAGGGTGACCCAAAAAAGAAAGAAAATCCCCAAAAAGAAAATACTTTCATCATCATTCAACACTTTCACCACACTCACACATTATCACTGCTTTTGCAGAGGTGCTCAGAATACAACAGTTTAGAAGCATATACGTATAAAGATACACAACATATCCCTCCAAACTGCCAATATCCCAAACCCCTCCTTTAAAGTGCAGGCATTGTACTTCCCATTTCCAGGACTCAATCCGACTATATGAAAATAACCGGTTTCCCTGAATCCCTTCACTAAATATTACCCTGCTCACACTCCAACAGATCGTCAGGTCCCAAGTATCATTCGTCACCATTCATATATATATATATATATATATATATATATATATATATATATATATATATATATATATATATATATATATATATATATATTATATTATTATATATATATATATATATATATATATATATATTATAATTATATATATATATAATATATATATATATATAATGTTGTGACGAATATGTTAAACTGGTCAATTAGCAAGAACTCATTTAAAATTAAGTCCTTTCTAAAATTTTCTCTTATACGTTTAAGATAAGATTTCGTTCGGATTTTTAACCCCGGAGGGTTAGCCACCCAGGATAACCCAAGAAAGTCAGTGCGTCATCGAGGACTGTCTAACTTATTTCCATTGGGGTCCTTAATCTTGTCCCCCAGGATGCGACCCACACCAGTCGACTAACACCCAAGTACCTATTTGCTGCTAGGTGAACAGGACAACAGGTGTAAGGAAACGTGTCGAAATGTTTCCACCCGCCGGGAACCGAACCCGGGACCTCCGTGTGTGAAGCGGGAGCTTTAGCCACCAGGCTAACCTTATTATAACAAGAACAATTTATTTTAGCCTAACCCAATTAAATATATTTTAGATTTGCTTATTAGATTAATACTAAACAAACACAATGAAATATATTTTTTTCGTTTGGTTCATAATGATTTTGGCGAAATTATTGCATACACAAATTTTCGCTTGTCCTATATGGCAAGATGAGCGTTGCTATTTAAGCCAAGATCGCAAGTTCTGCCTATTCGGATGTAATTTACATATCTTGTGATGGTGTGACTCACAAGACTGACACAAGTGCCTCCATATGAGGCACGAGACACTAGGATGTAGCGTATTTTTCCTGATTGACACATGAAACAAGGCTGATACAGGTGTCTTCTGCTTGACACAAAACATGAGGCTGGTACAGGTGTATATTGAGTGACACGTGACGGACAAATGATTAAAGTATCTCCTGACTTGACACATGTGGCATGAGGGTGATACCAATTTCTCTTGACACATGACACGAAGCTGATAAGTGTCGGTTCATGGGGTGGCGAAGGTCAGTGGATTAAAATATTTCTTTGTGTACTAGTTCTACAGTTTACACATGCCGTCACGGGATTATTATAATCATAATCCCCTCAAGGAAGGTTCCTTGATGTTGGTGAGGGGCTCTTGATTTAGGAAATTGGATCTGTGCTCCAGTTCCCCGAATTAAGCCTGAATGCCTTCCACATCCCCCCCAGGGCTGTATAGTCCTCCGGGTTTAGCGCTTCCCCCTTGATTATAATAATAATATAATCATAATCAAGCACTAAACCTGTAAGACTCCTACAGCGCTGCTGCAGTCACAAGAAGGCCGTTCACTGGGGCGGCTCCAAATTTTCTATACTAGGAGACTTTTTGAAGGCGAGCTAGACTTGTTTTGAATTATCATTATCATAATCAAGGGGGAAGCACTAAACCCATAGGATTATACAGTGCTTGGGGGAGGGATGGAAGGTATTCAGGCTTAATTCAGGGAACTGGAGCACAGATCCAGTTCCCTAGATCAAGAGCCCCTCACCAGCATCAAGGAACCTTCCTTGAGGGGACTTGTTTTGAAGCAGCGTTATTATTACGATTTTTATTTTGGGAAGCTGGGAGAATTTTGGGGGCTGAGCCCCCTCCTTGGGGCCACCACCATATTGACGGTCAAACGTGAGCCAAAAATAGTGATTCCTCTTATATGTATTACAATG